AAAAGAGAACTAGGTACTTATCAGCTGTTTAAAAATTAAAACGTTCATTAATTATGATTAACAGCACAGTAATTAAGAAAGGGGTTTTTATACCATTTTGAGAGGGATCGTGAGATGCTAGGTAGAGGATGAGAAAGCAAACGAGCGTCAGCATCGGGATCAGATGAATGTAGCTTTGGGGATTATCAACGCTGGCAGCCCTAATCGCCGCCGTCGCCTTCCTCTTCTTCGCCGGCTCATCGTCGTCTCGATCTTCGTACTGAGAATCAATGGACGATAGTGACGACGATTGAGAGGGAAACTGTTTCTGGGCTTCGAAGGAAGGTTTCTCGTCCTTCGCGAGCTTCGACGACGGCGAGCCCAGTGACTGCCGCTGCATATTGAGCTGAGGGAGAGATTCAGAGATTGAGACAGATTGAGAAAGAGAAGAGGATAGTGAGAATATTTTTGGTATCTTGGGTGTGCTATGGAATGGAAATAAAAAATGGTATCCGACCCGACCCGGATGAGATTGGGTTTGGTGAAAAAGTTGAAATGGAGTATGGGTTTGTTTTATTTTTTATATTTACTTGCACTCCAAAAATCATGACGAAAAGTTGAAATGGATTGCGCCTTTTTAATTAACTAGTATTAAAATTCTGTGCACATGCACAAATAAATGTTATATGTATATGCGTTAAGATCATAAGTTAAATAATAGACATACCATATATTACGTAGGAATGTTCAGTAATATATAATTTGTTATTTTTTATATTTATTTGATTTCCTTATTGAGATGAAATGTGAAAAATATAATAATTATATGTAAAATAAAACCTTAAAAAAAGTTTTTAAAGTACGAAGCATTCGGGGATGGAGATTAAGAAGTCGGGCATCTTTCTGTTAAGTTTGCCTCGATTTTGCTATAGAGTCATTCATAGTTTTTTACAAATGGTGTATTGACACGTGCCTTGCAATAAATACACATAGGACACGTGTCAATACATAAAGACATGGATGACTCCATAAGGGAGCCATCCGATGGCTCCATAGAATTTATGAAACTTCGCCTATGAAGGAAGTACCATTAACAATCTCTCTCCTACTCGTTGACAAGGAAGAGATACACAAGTTATAAACTAGTCTTAAGTATCTAACAACACATGTTAGGTAACTAAATAAATTAAAAAAAATCGAGTAATAGCTTGTTAATAAGAGTAATTGATAATACTATCTCCTATTATTTTTAAATATCATTTTAGCTTTATCAACAATTAATCAAATAAATTACGTTTCGAATTTTTTATATATATATTTTCATTATTACCCTCATTTAACTAATAAATACATTACGTCTTTTCATATTTATTCTTCATCTTTTCTCAAAACACTCATCTCTATCCTCATTAATGAAGATTATTATTGGCAAAAAAAAAAAAAATATATAATTACGGTACAATTTATCAAAACGACTAGTACAGAGCTCGTGCGATGCACGGGGTGCACAATTTTAATTTTTAAGGCTATTTATCCAGGCTTATAATTATATATGAATAAAGAAAAATGTACGGGATATATATAGTACGTGACCCATGCGAAGCACGAGATATATTTATTTGGAGAATATTATATTATAAGATGCAATATTCAATAAAAGTTTATAATACGCAAGAAAATTGTACAATGTTCAATAAAAGCTTTATAATATTCAAGTGGAGTCTTAAATTCTCTTGTACATTAAGACTACTGACAAAATAATATTTTAATCAATGAGTTTCCTTTCCTTGTAGCCAAATTGTAAATGTGATTTGAGGAGTACAACAAATCGATATATTGCTGACTTGCTTTTTTCATTGTATTTTTTTTTTTATAATGAATTTTAATGATATTCTAAGTAAAGCAAAAATTTATTTTTTTATTACAATTAGGAATTTTACTAAATATAATATCTCAATCTATGGTGTTAATCAACGTTTAAGTCTAAAAGGAATGTTTATCTCTTTTAATCAACGTTTAAGTCTAAAAAACAATAGAGTTATTATAAGTTTTTTTCTACATCTAATATGAGCATGTTAGAGCTAGTTTGTAAAATAATTAATATATTATCTCACTAAAATATTTATACTAATAAAAATTTAATTTTAGCATATAAATTTATCCCTTGATATAAGAGAAAGTAACAGTTTTACTTATTGTTGTTCACCATATAATATTTAATTATTATTTTATTATATAATAAAAAAGGAATATTGTTAAATAGTGTAGTATAATTATTATAAAATTATATGATTTTTTTTTTACTATATGGATTTAATATTTTTTTATGATTTGATAATATAAACAAATCTATACTTAACTTTGACAAATAAAACAAATAAATACTTTAGTAAGTATTTAATGTATATACTAAATAGGAATATATTTGGTATAATCAAATACCAAATATAATCAAATAAGTCAAAGTGTACATTTTTATTTGGTATTTGATTTTTTTATTATTAAAATCTTTTTATTAGACTTATCTTTTTAAAATAAAATAAATAAATAAATCAATTAAATAAATAAAATATTATGATACCAAAATAGTAATGGCATTTAATGCAGTTGACTTTTCTGGATAGTAAATGTAGTAAATAGAATCTCCTTTTATATAAGTATAAATTGTATAATACGGAAATAGTAATGCAATAAATGATGTTGACTTTTCTGGCTACTTAATTTGATAAATAGGACTCCCTTAATATAAATATAGATATAGATACTTAGAGAGAATATTAATTACTACAATCTACGTCAAGTGAAAATAAATGTTGCTTAATAAAGCTTAATAATAGAGATAAGATAAGATGGGTCACAAGGGAAGACTGTTTGGCTTATGATCGAAGCTACGTTTGGTGGAAAATGGAAATAATAGTTTAAATTCTTTGTCAACTAGGACATTTATTACTGGCATGTATTTTGTGACACGTCACATGTGATAACCTTATCCATTAAAATCTGGTTTGGATAATGGCGTTTTAGCCCTTTTTTGAGCGTTTTTGCAGAAATTCTATAGTGCCCATATGGGCACTATATGGTGCCATAGATCTCACGATCCAACGCCTAATATCCATTCTATCAATTCCACAATGAATATTAGGCATTGGATCATGAGATTATGGCACCATATGGTGTCTATATGGACACTATAGAATTTCTGGCGTTTTTGTCCCATAATAGTTTCTTTGATAATTTGACCCTTTAAAAGTTGTTCAGTAAACTCACGGTAAAGAACAGGCGTAAAGTTTAAATTGGCGAAAAACATCACTTTTTGAAATTGTATATAATATAACTATAAATAAATGCAAGACTTTTTTTTATTTTTTTTAAATGATTTTAATTTTAAGTTATTCCTCATGTTTATATTTTAGTTCTCAATTATGTTCTAAAAAAATCGGCCTAGGCGGCGTCTAGGCGGGCGTAGGCGGACCTAGGTGCTCCTAGGCGGGCTCGGCGACAATTTTTCAGTTTTTTTTTTATTTAATTTTTTAATACTAATTATATTATTTTGTTCTCATGTATTCTTTAAAATATATTAATATTATTATTTAGACTTAGGTTTATGGATTTATTATAAGTTGAGATAGTTTTATTTTGTAGGTAGTTAAAATAAATAAAAATAAGGTATTTAATATTGATTACTAAGCCCCGACTAAATGTCGCCTAGGCCCCGCCTAGGCGCTACGCGCTGGTCGAGCACTTAGCGACTTTTAGAACACTAGTTCTCAACAAGCTTTACTTTTAAGACAAATAAGTGAACAATAGTATTATTTTTTATACACTATATTTTAAATACTTATATAAAAGATATTAAATATATTTAGAAATTAATTTAAAAGAGGAAATTATTTCATATGTTCATGAAAAGTTTAAGAAATATTTACTTTCAAACAAATGTTGAGTGAATTTAAAATATAAATTTAAAAGTATTTAAATTAACAATTTAAATATGTAATAAAATTAAAAAATAAATATAAATATGTAATAAAAATAGGAATTTAAAAAGTGAAGTATTAAAAAAAAAGAAATTAAAAAGTAAATTAGTAAAAGAATACTGAACTTGAAGTAATAAAAAAATTGAAATGTATATAAATATTATTTCAATAGTATTACTATTTAGGTTATTAATCAAAATAATAGTAAATTCGTATATTTTTTAAATTCACTATTAAATATTTTATTTTTTTTATTATAGTTATGTAAAAATAAATTATATGAGAATAAAATTTTTTATTTACATAATTATACCCTAAGAAAATTTTTTATTTACATAATTATACCATAAGTTAAAAGTAGTTGGAGTCATATATTGAGAAGTAAAACATAAAAGTAAGCCTTAAATTGAGTATAATATAAAATCGAAACTTTCAATTGAGAAAGTATAAAATTCAAGTCCTATATTGACAAAATTCTGAAAGATTGGGTCTTGTAACAAAATTTTTCCATTTTGATCCAATTTGTTGAATTTAGTTTAGCGGCTGTTGTATTAACACGCAAATAATAAGAAAAAAAAATTCATTTTAAGTCCACCATGTTGACAATTTTTCGAAAAATGTCCATTATATAAGACGTCTTCAAAAAAAGGTCCACGATGTTGTCGCTTTAATAAAAAAAAAAAGCGTCTTCCCACTTGATTCAGTTGTGTAACTGCTTGATTCGGCATTTACTGATTGTTATCTAGATTGTAAATATGTGTTCGTATTTATAAAAGTCTATCGTTCTGAAAAAAACAATAAGTTTCGTACAATTTTTAGGACGGATTAATTTTTGACGTGGAAGTATTAATTTGTGATGTGAATGGATGCAAAATTTTCTAAAAAACACAAACATGCTCCAGGACCAGACCACAATTTTTTAAAAAATTTCTCAATCGTAAATTTGTCCCAGACCTTAGTTGCAATTGACTTAAACTTTTAAACTTGTAAAATAGTCCCTAAAACTTATCAAATTTTTGAAAATGAACCCTTTCAATCCCACTCTATTATTCACCCATCCGCCTCCGTCACCCTATTTTTTTACTACCATGACAAACTGGTACCATTTTTGAGTCCAGTGTGACAGAATATTTTACTCATATAGATTTAATGTAAAGTGATGCTATGGAATACATGCATGCCTTATTCTATGCCTAATTTTTCTCATGCATTATTGTCTTCTCTTCTGTCAATTTTCTATTTTCAATTGAAGAATTTAGAATGAGAGATTATAGTTTATTAATTAGGTTGCAAATCTTAAAGCTAGCTAACGTGCTTTGTAACATTTTAAATTTAGTGATTTTTTTGCAGTTTATTTCTTGCAGATGTTAGTGATTGATAAATCATATACTACCTAAAGTTTGCATCAATATTCAATAGACTTCTAAAAGTGCCTCGCTGAATTTCTNAATGTTTTAACAACAAGCTAAGTTTTTTTCCTCCCACCCCAACAAAAAGCCGTAACTCACGAACTCATCGCATACTCTGTTTCCCTTCCTCTTCTTTTACTTCCTCTCGCAGACGACATAATTACAAAATTTGGGTGCAATTGCAGGAAAAAAAAAAAATCTTTCAATAACCAAAGTGGTTTAAATTTGTACTTCCTCAGTTGACTATCAATTTTTACTTTAAAAGGTATGTTTTATTTAAATGTTTTTTAATTTTTATAACCCTAAATTTGTATTTGGAAATTTTTAAAATTGATGTAATTTTTAATTTAGTGCTTTCATCACTTTGTTAAATTAGCATCTTAAATAATATTTCTTATTTATTGTGCATTTTTTATGTATTATTTGTTTTAAGTATTTTTATAATTGTAATAATATTTTAAAATTAGCTCGTAATTTGCTCTTGTCCCTCATTTCTAAGTTCTAACCTAATGTTTTTATTATTTATTATATTAGTTATGGAGAAATATTATAAACAAAAATGTACGAGTGTTGACGATGAAAAAAATGTTCGAGGAAAAGACCAAGAATATGAGAACACGTAGAGAACAATTGTAAAGTAACGTTTGTCATTTTTTTTTCTTTAATGAATTATAATGTGCCCCCTACTTTTAAATGTCTGCATCCGCCGCTAATCCTACTCTTTTAGAAAATATGAATAAGTTCATATTTAAATATCATACTTTAAATGCAATACAAAAATTCATAACATACAATGCTCTATTAATGAAATATGATTGTCCAAACTGTGAGGCAGTTTAAAAGCATCATTTGTGTTCATTTGTAATAATGTTATGGGTGTGTGTAATTTAAATCATAAGTTAGATAACGATCATATCATATTTTATACATTATACCATTACTAAAATGAGCGATATAATAAATTAAAGCTATTTAGTATACATATTAATCTTTATATTGATTGCAATAAAATAATATAATTTTTGCAATCTTGGCTGATTTATGATAAATTTATCAGATAAATCAATACTAAAATTATAACTATAGCAATTACATACGAAATTTTAAGGAGTTGTGTCATAAAAAATAATTAACTAATTTTATTAAAACAACTTATTTAATGTGTTGAAGAAAAAAAATAAATATAATTTTAAATATGTAGTTTAGAAAATATAATACAATATCATTTAATGTCGCTTTATGATTAGTTAGTTGTAGCGATTATGTAATAAAATAAATAATAATCTAATTACTTGATTAATGTAAAAATATACAACGAAAAAGGAAAGAAAAAATAAAACGAAAACAATTATCATAATTTTTTTGCGGACAATTGTATATATAGATAGATAGATTAGTCTAATATATATNTCCAATAATCGTTACAATTCAATAATATTATTATTTTTATTATTATTTATATTAATTCACCCTATCCCATTAAATGATACAATATTTTCTTGCGCTTTTTTTTTGGTTTAGTTAAGAAAAAAATCATTATATTTTATATTAATTGGATAATAATTATATTTTTTTGTATCATATAATAGTTATTATTAAAGTAAAAATTGTTTTTTTACAGTAAATGATATGTGAAAGTTACATAAACATAAAAAATTTTATTGTAAAAACTCTTTATTCAAGTTATTTATTCTAAAATCAATATTATATTTTTATATGTGACTAAGCGATTGCCATTAAATAAATTACTTTGTTTTAGTGACATAATAAAATTTCTTAAAATCGCATAAGAAATTGTTATAATAAATTTAATATATTTCAACTAATTAATTGATCATGATTCCTCAAAATTACAAAAATTATATCATTTATTACATTTATGCAATCAATATACTGATTCATATGCAATCAAATCGTTATTTACTATTTATTTTAACCAATGATCAAATTTTATAACATAATATCATTAATTAACTTATAATTTTAATATTATATGCATAAATATACTTTATAATATCTATGTTTAAAATATAATATCATTAACTTATAATTTAATCTTATATGCATACAAGTAACTTATAATATTTTATTTATATCTTTGCAAATGCATATGACCGAATACTAGCTAGTATACATTTAGAATAAAGATGCGTATGTATCGATGCATTTAATGTATTTAATTTAATTGATACATAAGAACGAGGATTCAATCCCAAATTGCCCATACTTCTAATGTCATCCAAATTGAACCTTCAAGAGTCAAGACTCTAATCTCTATTAAAAGAAACTATATTTGTATATTTGTATTAAGCAAATTATACATTTTTCTGTTAACCAACTAATCTAGTTGGAAACTTTAAGTTGCTAATTTAACTTTTAATTCTGCGAGCTCAAATCCCAAGGATCAAATAATAATCTATGTAATTATGAGTAAATTAAATTCTAATCACCCCTTAATTGCTTCTCGCAGGTCCTCAAAGCTCCAATCCCTTCTCATGCCACTGCTCCTCACAAGCCTCGGGCTCGGTGGGCCCGACCCAAATGTGGTGGGCCTGCAGCCAAGAGGGCTCTTTTCCTGTATGGGGTCAAGACTGGACCAGCTTCTCATTTTGTCATAATTGGGCTTGGGCTTGAAATTGGGTTCCAAGTTCCCTGACAAGCTCCTACCGGCCACGGCCCAAAAGTGGATGTAGTTATTGGGCTTGTAGTCTTCTTGCAACTCATCGGGTTTCATTTCTTCCTCTGAATTTATTCTGTTCAGGCAATTCATGCTCATTGCGTTGGTTGCTAGATAATGGGGAAAACGTTGCAGCAAGTGACAACTTTAGTAGTGGGGATGCGACCAATTAAACTGGAA